ACCTCCAATTGGCCAAGGTGCAGACGCACTTAAGTTCCGCACAACTGTAAACTTCGACGGCAGCACAACCCTAAAATATCTCAACCTGCTCTCCTACAGGTAATATTTCGATGCATAGAGTGAAGAAAAAATTACGCGGGCTAGGGGTCAAGACTGAACATGAAAGATAAGGGCAAGGCTGAAATACAACCACCACCTCCCTGAAATCCACACTTACGTGTCTGCCACTCCCTTTCGTTGTTTAAACGTTTGAATCTGGTTACTGATCTCGGACTTGATGTTTTGGACAGTATGTTCCCAATATTTATTTCCTTGAACCACCGTGGTTCAGCCGATGACGTTTGGCTATTTACTTCGAAAGTGATAAATTGGAAGTATATTCACGCCACTTATTCGCTGGCTGGAAATGTACTCATAACTCAAACGTACATCATAGCTCTATGCCGCATCGTAATTGCGTTACGATATTTAATCATGATGACATACGGCTTTACGGAAAGATTCAAGACCTACAGTGGGTGCGTTACCTCATGAAATGTCAACCGGAATTTCGAAATTCGATTTCATTTCGAAAGGATTAATCAAGAACGGCTGTAGAACAAATCATCGTGCAGCATAAATCTATAATAATTCAGTTACTTCAGGATGCCGGCTTTTGAACAAAGTTCATTCCGGCTGCATGCAAAAACTATACTCTGCACAAAATGACTACTTGCGTAGTATGACTTTTTCTCATTGATTTTCGACGTTCTTAAAAATGCAATTGTATTTCATGGAAAACATGCATAAAAATACTCATTCGTTTGCTCATTCGGTAGAAAATTACATTTTATTTCAATTTTATGCTCGAAGGAAGAGTAAAATTCGGTTGTACAAGACTGCCTGCGGATTTTATACTCCCAGTTCTGTTGGACCTCATCCAAAAAATTGGTCGGATCTTATTTCGTCAACGTTCCTGCAGTAGACGATCCCCAGCCTAACCCCTAATCCTAACGCCTAACCCCTAACTCCAACCCCTAACCCTAACCCCATTCTCCAAACCCCAACCGCTAACCTTAACATCTAACCCCTTTCTTCAAACCTT